TTTGGATGGATTGGACAGACCAACAAGACATATTGGATTGGACCAATTCAGTCTAAAATATTTATTAGATTGGATCGGGTTTAAACCAAACCCAATCTAAAAATCAAAACAAATTTGAATAAATTGGACGGTCCAGAAATTGAATTGGACCGCTCCAGCATGGTCAAAATGGTCATTGGGTTGAATTGGACATCGTCCGTTTATAATGGACTCACTCACATTGGACTGGATTGAATTGGACCAAATCCAGTACAATTGACACCCCTATTAGAAAGCAATGATAACAGAATTATCAAATTTACTAGGGTTGCAAGAGGCAAGTTTAGTGATGTCACAAATTTTCAGGGACGTTTTGCATCCTAAATGAGAGCAAAGGTTGCATCCATAAAAAGGTAGATTCCAATCTAGGAAATCATGTTTGCATCCATTCCTTACCCATTCCCGAATCCGATTATGTATCCTGATTCTAAACAGGTCTAACTTTTCCTCTCAATTTCCTAAATCTGTCATATCCCACCCGTTAAACCCCTTAACCAAAGGTTTTCTACTAAAAAATGTTTTGTAATGCTCATAGTGTGACTTTAACCTGAATCAATTATCGATAGTGTCAAATCTCTTAACACTATTTTAAGCCACTAAACCATCTCACCTTTTGTGTTATTTAATGAAATAAAATAGATTTTATTAACTTTTATGTTCATCAAAACATATATATGATTAACAATTCCAAATAAAAATTAAAAGAAATAATATTTAAAGTTAGCATTTTATAACTAAATAAAATAAATAATTTATCAAATCCAAATTTACATCAAATAATGATTTTAATCCCAAGAAATTTATACAAATAAAATGTCAATAATAGAATAATTATCTTAGTACTTAAAATTTATAAATTTGTGCATTATACAATATAATAGGTTCATATTTATGCATCTTGGGTATAGGGTATTTGTGTAGTGGTAAGGCTGTTGGTCAAGTCTTCGAAGGTCTGGAGAAGGCAACGGGAAAGAGAGAGGTTGTGGGTAAGAGAGAAGAAGAGAGGGGAGAAGGGAGGATTCTCTTTTTGAGAAACCCTAGGTCAAGATTATCTAATATGTCGTCCCCTAGGGAAGAGTTGTTCTCTCCTTTTATAGAGAGAAAGCCAAGGCCATAACAAGGACTTTAAAAGAGACATTTTCTGTTAGGAAAGTGGATATTTTCTTTATGTTGACTATTAAGGGAGCGTCGTTGGGGTTTCCCCACGTGTCAAACGAGATCTTTTGAAGACAATGTTTCCTTTCCTTTAATGATTCTCTACTTATGCTACTTTTTTTTTGTGATCCTTTTAAATTGATGTGGCGTGGGTGATGTCATTATTTACATTGCTCGCCTTTATTAGGACCATGGGACGTCCCATCACACGTGCAATTTAAAGAAGCATGTGTTTCCGATATTTATTCCCGATCTACAGTAATTTCATACCCGTCCGAAGTTCATCACGGTTCTATGCATGTCTAAAGCTCATTGCAAGTTCATGTGTGTCTAAGATTGGTTCATCGCATATCCACGTAGGCCAAAACTCATCACAACCTGTTTCGGATATGAGTTCATCGCAGATGTGCGATGAATTATGAACTCATTGCAGACGTCCGATGAATTGTGAACTCATCGCAAGTGTTCATATAGTGTTGGTTTGAAACCACCATGTATCTATATCGGGTATTAAATACCTTAAAGTCGAAACTCAAACTCGTCCCAAACCCTATAAGATTTTAATCTAAAATCCCAAACCCTATAGGGTTTTAATAAATGAGTCCTACTAGAGTGGGATACCCAAAAATTCCCACGAAATTGCCATAATGCACTTTACATATTTGTATTTACACTCTTGCCAAAAGCGTCTAATAATGAAGAAATGACAAAGTGATTGACGACCAAACCATAAGCAGATGAACTTAAAATACATCAGTTAGTTTTATTTTCGGATTTTTTTGAGGTAAACAGGCCTGTCAACATAGTGTTGAAGGCCAAATTCATTCGATGAAATTGAATGAGAGAGTAACAGAGTTCTTTTAGCTAAAACATGTGCTGCATGATTAGCAGAACGAGCAATCCATCTAACCGAGCAGTGAGAAAGGCTTGAAATGATCAATCTGCGATCAGCAATGATGTGTCTGTTTCTCCAAGGAGTGGGATGATCAGCAATGATGTGTCTGCAATGATAGATATCCCTCCAGTAAAATAGCCGAGAGGCCCGATTCTTGAGCAAAAGAGAGGGCCGAGAAAGCTGCTTGAGCTTCAATTTCTAGAGGATCAACATTTAGATTAACAGCTTTGCAAACCAGAAAGAGCCAGAGGAATTAATCTCTGAGAATACTACAGCCAGTGCCTCCTGATAAATATTAACTAATAAATAAACAGAAGCACAAAATCTGTTTGCTAGTTCTTCTTCCCAGTCTTGCTTTTAGGTGTTTCATTTCTTAATCTCCTTTGAACCATGTTGTAATGGCAATAGAATCTACTTTCGATGAGATTTCACGTCTTCTTCAACCCTCTCCGCCCAATCTTGCGGATTGAACAGGGCGAAAGAAATTTGGAATAATAATAGCGTACTTTGATGCTTCTGAATTTGAGTGAAACTACATGTTTTCTTTATCAGAAAAGAAAATTTAAAACCAAGAAAATAGAATATTATGTAATCAATTGTCAATAAACTGCAAGGAGAACACAATACATGAACTAAAAGCAATCGTGGAAATACAAATGATTTGTAACTTCAAATAACTATAAAAATAAGCCCAATTACCCTGTAATCTGGGTCTAGTGTCATTTTAGTCTCAAATTTTAAATTGTGATAATTTAGTTCCTACCGTTAATTAGTCATTAAGTGACATGTAAAAAGACACAAATGTTTTTCAGATGTCTTCTAATTTTCTTTATCAACCATCAAATAAGTGGCGAACAGCACAGCCGTGCATGCCATTCTCTTTCATATTTGCACGACTTTTTTTCTATTTACGCAATTATCCTATTTATGACAGAATGTGCTCCGGTAATGCGGGGAACTCATTCCATTGTTATATCCGATTTCATCGTGATAAATCTAATTTTCTGAGCTCTTGCAATTTAGACCGAGAAAAACCAACGAAATGACTGTGTCAAGACCGAGTTGATTCCCAATCTTCTGCAGGAGATGGTTCACTATAAGCTAGTTCTTGCAATTTAATTAGTACAATTTCCAATAGATTCTGGTATCATCCTTGATAATTGATTACTATAGAGCGACAGAGAAACAAGATCAGTCGTTTCCTACATTCGACGGGATAGACCAGTGAACCCATTACTGTAGAGATAAATCGTGTTCAAACGTGAAAGCTGGAACAAAGATTCTGCTATCTTCCCACTCAAGGAATTATCAAACAGAGATAAAAATCCGAGCTTCCTCAAGTTTGCTAATTTCCCAAGCACATCACCGGTGAAACCATTCGCCGTTAGATCCAAATATTCAAATAGACCACAATTGAACAACTCTGCCGAGATCAAACCCGAGAAATTGTTGGCATTAAGGTCAAGCATCTTGAGGGATCTCAGCTGGCCAATCTCCGGTCTCAATAAAACAGAGATTTGCAGACCCGACAGGTTCAGGGAGATCACATTCTCCATCAAAGCTCAACCCAGCAGCAGTACGGAGCAAAGCAAAGTACAAGCACAAGCACAAGCACACAGGAAGTGTCTAAAAACACTACCCATTACAAAACATAGACTTAATTTGTTCTATTGCCAAGCATTAGATTATAAGAAGGATGTACTATGAAGCTAACAACAAGAAATGCCCCAATTAGAGAAAAAGTGAGAGAGATAGAGAGCAATCAAAATCAATAAAAAAATAAGAATAAGAGCAAAAAGAATGGAACTTGCATAATAAAGAGGTGTTAATTTGATAATGTAATTTTTATAGAGGATTATAGACACCTGGTAATGTTTAGAAGATGAGGAATGTTGTTGACTCATGAAAGGCACCTGGTAATCAAAATGTTCTTTTGCAACATTCGATCCGAATTTTGAGAACTTCTCGATCGTCGGTGGCATCTGATACGTCTATCATCTACAAATTTAGGGTTTTAGACAGGATAAAAGGAGATATATTAGAGAACATATCCTACACCAAGTGGTCGGGTAATTTTCTTTTTATTGATTTTCCAGTGCTTCCTCCTCGGTTGCTCTTGTTTCGCTTGTTAAGCAATCAACTCCCCACAATTTACTTTCCATTTGTGAGTAGGCATAGAACACAAAACTCTAATTTGATGCAGGTGCTGACTGGACTGAACACAAAGAGAAAAGCTAGGTCCAAATGGAGAAGTTTGTAGGCAAATATAATGAAGAAGGGAATGGTTTAATTCAATGTTTTCTCAATTTGGAGGTGATTAGTGCCAATAAAAACATGATGTGACAGCAATATTTTCAAATAAAAAAAAAAGGATAACATCGATATCAAACATATACTATATCATCCACCTCTCCTTCAGCATCGCCTCGCCTGGGACTGAAATTAACGAAGGACAAGGAGAGGTTCCCACCGAAAGAAGTTTACTGATGTTGGCTGGTGCGAGGTTGTTGTGAATGGGTTGGGCTGGATTCAACGGTGGAATTTCAGGGCTGCATAGAGGCACAGAGAGGTGACCAATGCGAACCAGACCTTTCCTAAATTGGTAACACCCATCCCCTTTTGGAGTAGTTTTGCTGTCTCCGAAGGTGGGGAAGGGTGTGCGACTTGCCCATAATTCATGCTGATGAATGAGAGCCACTTCACCAGGGAGAGCTATTGAAAACATTCCGACATTGGAAAAGATTTTAACGATAAATCAACAATAGTAATGAAAGTATTATTGTCATTTTATCAAAAACAGAACAGTAGTCACGTGGTGTGATATGTGAGCGGATGGAATCCAAACGATAGGGAGTAATTGGTCAATTGTCAGAAATAAATAGGGGGTATTTTAAAACAATCGACTATCGACTCATCCATCAATATCCAAGTTCCAGAAGACAGAAGAGGGACGGATTTTTGTTCAAGTGCATTCCATTGAGACAGAAGACAGAAGACGATGGCCTCGTCGATTGGGGCACCGAAGGTCACCTTTTCTTCTTCAACCCTTCAACACCTCTGCAAAAAATTCCCTCCTCCTATCTCACCGAGATATCTGTCACCGAATTCCTCGCCGTGCTTTCACTTCAGGGGCATAAAGTCTCCCTCTGGTGGCTGTCGTTTCTTCATCCCGTATCGGTGCTTCACAGTCCGAGCGGAGTCCGAAAACGGTGCGGAGCCTCGACACTACGATTTTGACCTTTTCACGGTAGGTGCTGGGAGCGGTGGTGTGCGGGCTTCGCGTTTCGCTGCAAGTTATGGTTCCTCCGTTGCTATCTGTGAGCTTCCCTTTGCTACAATCTCTAGCGATAACGCTGGTGGTGTCGGTGGAACGTAAGTTGCAAGACTTTATTCGCTTCTCTTCTCTATTTGGTGATTTTGAGTTGCAGCTGGGTAGTCTGTCTTCTGTTTATTGCTTTTGATCTCTGTGGGTTCTAGCTGCATGAGGGGGAGAATTGAAAAACTGAGAAAAATTCTCTTATCTATTTATTTTATTTTGGGTGTATGGTAGCGTCTGCAACATGATAATAGGTGAACATGAGTTTTTAATTTTCCCCCTCTCTAGGCTTTGAAAAGTTGTGTTTTAATCTTAAAAGGTAAGATGGCTAGAATTGTATTTTTATCTCTTTGGCTGTGTTTGATTGCAATGCAAATGAATTTGTACTGATGCAGAACCATGGCAGTGCAAATGATTTGAGTGTAAATTCTGACCTATTTTTGTTTGAAATTTTAACTTATTTTGTTTGATTGCAGTACGAATGAAGTAAATTAAGACATGAAGCAGAATAAAGTAAAATCCAAAATAAAATTAAATATGAATTTGCATTTTTTTACTTTTGCATTCCCATGCATTTGTACTAATGCAAGTAAATTTGCCTGCAACCAAACATTGGTTTCAATGATTGAACGCTGATCAGGATTTGGTTGCAGTACATGACTTCTATACTGAATATTCATAATTAAGTTGGTAAACCACATGACGTGTTTTTCTTGTTCTCCAACCATCTTATATCAAGAGGATAGGATTGTTTGATCAAAAGCTGGAACTCCATTCATAGGATGGATGCATATTTTATCTTATATAGTAGAAAACAAGTTCAGCCAACAACCTTTTATTATATTTTACTTTAATTTCTATAGTGGTGCTTGATGAAAATCATCTTGATTACGATCAACAGTTTAAATACAGGTTGTTGAAAACAAATATGCAAAGCTAGCTTACCTATTTGTAAGAAGCTGGTTATATGGAAAAAGAACTATTCTTTTAAACTTGGACAAGTTGTGGCCTGTTTTGATCAATGGCATCCATGGTCTTTCCACTAAAGGTTGGGATGCACGTTTGAATGCTAAATCCCTCTCCTTGGGAAAGCTATATTCTCTCTCAGTTTTTTCCTGCAAAACATAAGTTATGATGTTCATTTTGGTGATAAAACTAAATTCTAGTATGATTTGTGGTGGGGACAGCCTTTGATATGTTCCATTTTCTTTATTCCATATCATCCTTTAAAATAAATTTGTGTTCCACTGTGTCCCTTTGCCTATCAAGGGATAGATTGGAAAATTGACTTTAGTAGAGGTAAAGGTAATGAATATTATTTGCTTCTAATTTTGCAGATGTGTACTTCGAGGATGTGTTCCAAAGAAATTACTTGTTTATGCGTCCAAGTACTCTCATGATTTTGAAGAGAGCTGTAACTTTGGGTGGAAATATGAGATTGACCCTGTACATGATTGGAGAACCTTGATTGCTAACAAGAATGCTGAGTTGCAGCGCCTTACTGGAATCTACAAGAATGTTCTGAAAAATGCAGGCGTGACATTAATTGAAGGTCGTGGAAAGGTTGGATGACGTTCTCAGGAAAGGTTAAATTTTAAAGATAGTTTGCTACTGAAACATGTGTTTCCAGTAATAGTGTTGCAAGATCTGGATCTTAATGATGTCATCCACAGGTTGTAGACCCGCACACTGTAGACGTAGATGGGAAACTCTATTCTGCGAGACACATACTGATAGCTGTTGGTGGACGACCCTTCATTCCTGATATTCCTGGAAGTGAGTATGCCATAGATTCTGACATGGCCCTTGATTTACCATCAAAGCCTGAGAAGATTGCAATAGTTGGGGGTGGATATATTGCTTTGGAGTTTGCTGGCATTTTCAATGGCTTGAAAAGTGAAGTGCACGTTTTTATCCGACAGAAGAAAGTTTTAAGAGGCTTTGATGAAGAGGTAATGAAGCCACAGAAAAACGATTTCTTATTTGATTAATGCTTACGAGGGTATCATATATCTACATGGTTCTGCATGAGTTCCTGTGTAATTTTATTAGATTAAGGTTTATCTAGTAAATAGGAAGACAACTACTGTTGGTTTTTCAATCCAATGTTTTATATTTTGAAAATCTAGGTCATTTTGGACCGTTGGTCCCTGAGGTAATTTTCTGAAAACTTGGAATGTTATGCAAAAGTTTACAACAAAATATTTTGTAGTATTTTTATTTATATCTGATAATATTCTGAAAATTTCAGCCAAAATAAATCTGCTCTAATAGTACCTTTTGATTTCTGTATAATGGTGCTGTATGGTGTCTGATGTCTGATACTTCAACTTGTTTTTTGATAAGTTCTGATACTTCAACTTTTGGTATAAATTTCACATCTGACAGTGTCCGGCTGTGTTATTGCTGTATCTGAGTAACATAGATCTGCTCAAATATTGATGACCCTGTTTGAGACCAAAATTTCATGAAATTTCACCAACATTCGAAATCATGCTTCAACCTGTTATTGGTAAATGGAGTCATCAACCATGACAGAAACCATGCAAATTATGAACCTGAAAGTAAGCTATATTTAACAATTTAAGATGTGTTCCAATATAATGCCATATAAGGAAAACATTTGATTAGATGCTATGGAATGCTATTATGAACCTGAAACATGTTAAAACTTCAAATTTTAAAGATGTGCTATATAACTGCAGCATTTCATGTAAAAGGGATATACCTTTCGAGCATTCCCTGAATTCAAGTTGGACATAAATATAAAATCTTTGTGCCTCATGTTCTCAAATCTCAATTTGCACAGATCAGAGATTTTGTTGCTGAACAGATGTCTGTAAGAGGAATTGAATTCCATACTGAGGAATCCCCCCAGGCAATCCTTAAATCACCAGATGGTTCACTTTCTTTGAAGACTAACAAAGGAACTATTGATGGCTTCTCACATATCATGTTTGCAACAGGACGAAGGCCAAACACAAAGGTTTGGCATATACCTTTTTCCAAAATTTTAATTTTGTGCTCAAGTGATGAGCAAACCTGTTTAAGATTGTGACTTGACGTCTTATTGCCTTCCAGAACTTGGGACTGGAGACAGTTGGGGTGAAAATGGCTGACAATGGAGCTATAGAGGTAATTTCTGATTCAGTGTTTATTTTTTTATTATTATCAGGATTGTAACTGAGAGGTACTTTTTTCTCTCTAATTATATTTTCTTCAGGTTGATGAATACTCCCAGACATCAGTTCCTTCAATTTGGGCTGTGGGTGATGCTACTGATAGAATAAATTTAACTCCAGTTGCATTGATGGAGGGTGGAGCATTTGCAAAAACTGTCTTTTGCAATGAACCCACAAAACCAAATTACAGGTACTCTTTCTGTCTTGTAACTTATTCCTTACATACCTCAAAGGAGAGAAAATTACTGGGAAATGTTGTAAAATAAACAAAACAAAACCAGCATTCATAATAAACATCCCATAAACCATGTATTATCCATCACTATCATTATCTAAGTCTTTTCCCAACTCTACGGAGTCAGCTACATGAATCCTGTTCTGCTATTCTATTTTGTTCAGTGCCATATCTATTGTTTAATCATGATCCCTTAAATCATTATCCCATAAACCATGCATTATTGGGAGAAAACATCTGTTTCTGTTTTTCCATTTTTTTTAGTTTTGTAATTTAAAGATTAATATTCATTTCAGTCAGTAGAACTACCAATTACCGTTCCTCAGAAAAACTGTGAAAGCATGAATTTTTTATACAAAGGCTTTGCTAAAGCTCCATGTGCATCAGGGTTTTAAAAGGTGGGCCTTTGTCATGTTTAAGCTTACTGGTGAGGCTCATCTTGCCTGGACTTAGGCAAGCCTCTTCTCCTAACTTGCTGCTTTGTTTGAATTTTTGATTAGTTAACCTTGGAATTTGATATTCAATTTATAATTTAAAGTATTATTGGTTATACCTCTGATTCTTAGAGTTTAAATGGTTTAGTCTAGATAGGGTTTCAACATACAAGGATACAACCTTTGTGTTAATAACACAATAATCTAACTGTTTGAGCTAACAGGCTTTTTAAAATATTTTATTTCTTTCTAAATTCAGGCTTTTTGTTTTTTGTTTGTTTAGGGGGGTATTTGCTAATAAGCATGATTTTGTTTGAAACAAAACTAACTGCCACATCAGCAAAGAAATAGATTCTTTTGCTGATATGTCAGTTGCTTTTATTTCAAAAAACAAAATCATGGGTCAAGGCAAACTGCCCCTTAATTTTCTATTTTTTTCTTTTTTCAGAATGGGGCTTAACATTGTTCAGGCATGCTTTGCCTTGTGGGATTATGCTGTTGCTTGATACTATTTAAAGTGGTGTTTTGCATTCTAAGATACCTGAGTTTCTCTTGGAGCTAGAATGAAAGGCTATCATTTTTGAGTTGGATTCCTTTAGAAAATTCAGTTTTCTTGGTTTGTACTCCCTTGTAAAATACATGCCTTTATATGCTTGGCATTTTGTATATCTTGCATCTTATGGGGCTTTGAAAGGACAAGAGAGTAGGCTGATTAACTATCTTATTGTAAATAAGAGGATGTACAAACTGCAAAAAGAGCAAGGGAAAAAACTACATCGGCATAATGCTGCTGTTAAAAGGACCTCTCAACCCTTGATTTAGCTAATCAGCAATGGGATTAAGATCCCTAGGAATCCATCTAATCTGTGCACTCAACTGAGAAAGGATTTCTTTGATCTGTAATGGTTGACCATTAGTGAAAAAAATAATGGCTGACTATTAGTTAACATACATTTTGCAACCCTCTTTAGTCTTTAATACTTCATTCTAATGAAGCCTTTTCCAGTTATCAACCTTTGAAGCTAAAATGAGGGTTTGTTTGAATTCTTTTAGTACATAGAAGCTCCTTTTAGATTACAATGCCTTATAAATCGGCTTGTAATTAACCCCTCCCCGAAAAAAACAGCTTTAGATTATTAGAGTTCAGTTAAAAGTGACAATTTTTTTTATGAACTTTTTAATTCCCAATTACTTACACTTCTGTCAGAGCTGTGCCATCTGCTGTATTTTCCCAGCCACCTATTGGACAAGTTGGCCTTACTGAAGAACAGGTGAGTTCATTAGCTGTTGTATCTGCAACAATGTTGGTTTCTTTCTCTTAATCTCTCTCTCTCTCTCTTATAATATTTGCAGGCTATCCAAGAATATGGTGATATTGATGTCTTCACAGCCAACTTCAGGCCACTGAAGTCTACTGTGTCTGGGCTTCCAGACCGGACCTTCATGAAACTTGTGGTCTGTGCAAAGACAAAAAAAGTTCTAGGGTTGCACATGTGTGGGGAAGATGCACCAGAAATTGTGCAGGTTTCTGCCTTCCACTTTTCCTAGTTTGGTGCTTTACTAAGTTTGTGTTGTATATGGTTTTCAGTTACATCTTCTTGAAATCTCAGGGGTTTGCAGTTGCTATAAAAGCTGGATTGACCAAGGCAGACTTCGATGCCACAATTGGTATTCACCCCACTGCTTCTGAGGAGTTTGTTACAATGAGGACTCCAACTAGGAGGATCCAGAAGGACCCTCCATCAGAGGTTTGTTAGGGTACATAAATGACTTGATCTTAATATTGTAGGTTAGCCTTGGTGAACATGTATTGGTTTGATTAGCATCATGATTGATGAGCTTGTTTCTGTTAATCATATCAATCTTTGTCACTTGCACTGACACGTTTTTAGACTTTACTTTCCTTTTAATTATAAGATATAATTGATTGGGCATTTGTCGAAGACCTGTTTCTTTTTAAAATTTTGTGCAGGGAAAGGCTGCTGCTGAGGTCAAAGCTGAGGCAAAGGTTTAGCATTTAATCTTTACCAGGTACTTGTATATTTAAGAATGTCTTCTTCCTATCAATTTTGATTTAAAATCCGGTAGTTGTGGTCCTTACTTTTGAACAATCTAGGCTAGCACAGCAAGTGAACTAAGTGCTTGAATTTTCTTTGGGTCTATTTCCTGACATCCTGATAAGGAATCTGGCCCTGTTCCAAGTGGTTCAGCTCAATGACACTGAACACACCCACTTTCTGATATTGGCATGCGAAGCCCTTATTTACATACATTTTTACATAGATAATTGGGGCATCTCTCAATTTCTCTCTAAAATGATTGGGACTATTTTTTAGGAGTTCAAGTCGGGCATCCAGTGTGAAGAACTTGCATCGCATCAGACTTGGGTTTTCGGGCTGAGCCCATTCAAATTTTAAGAAAATTCCAACCTGAGCCTCCTCAAGTTGCACCCCTACCGTTTCTGTTGAATACCCTTTTTCTGTGGTGTTTACATGGTGTTATGGACAAGGATTGAAAATATTTAGTCAAACTCTAATCTTTCATATGTTTCTGTTGTCTCTTTTTTTGGCATATTTTGGACTGCATCTGCATTTGGTGTTTCATCTCTTTTTTTTGGCATATTTTGTCACAAATTTCTGCTGTTAAGCTGATGGTCCAATTTGTTATGGTTCTGCTATTTTCACTCAATTGTGTTACAGATTTCTTGTCCTCTGACTCCAAGCTTTAAATTCACTTTTTTTTTTTCCAAAGTGTCTTGTTTTTATTGTTATGGTCATTAATGTCTTGTTTTCATCTACTTTTTTTTTTCTTTTTTTATCATGTAAGTTCACAACCTGGGGGTGGGATGGGATCACACAAATCATCTTTACTGTTTATAAAGCAAAACATGCGTGGAACTTTTGCAACTAGGTTCAAAATATGTAGTTGACAGGGGTACTTGGTTAATAATTTTCTTTGCTTGCCATGTTAAACTAAGTAAATATGTCTTAGCTCTTTAAGGTTTCTGCTTTGCTCATTCATTCATCCTAATAAAAGATATTCTTTTTGATAAATATCCTAATAAAAGATTTTTACAGTTATAAAATCTTTTTTTTATAGGAATTAAGAATTTAAGACCCTGATACTGATATAGACTTGTTTGGGTTTGCCTCGAAGGGCTTGTGGTACAAAGGTGTCTTGCAGAATCAGGAATGCATAATGTTTAATATCACATTAGCTATTTGAAGTAATGCAATTAAAAAAAATTAAAGTGATTAAGGGTTGCTTGCTTGAATATGTTTCATCACTACGATCTGCTACCCACAGAGTACCACTACCGCGTATTAGGAGCATCTCCCCAATGACAAAGAAGATATTCCCAATGCGTAGCTGTAATGTCTCATGGGTAGAGATGTGGGAGCAGCTCATTGGTAGCAGATCTGAGCCCATGTTTTATATGTTATGTTTGATTTTATTTTTAAAATTTCATTTTAAATATGTTTTACATTTATGTTTATGTATTTTAATTTGAGACAATAACTTTTTCAAACTATTTATTTTAAAATTTAAGTTTATATTTTTAATTAATATTGTGTTTAATAATTTTAATATTTTGCATTTTTTATTTTTATTTTTTTGGCGTTTTTAGCATTTCTTGCTTTTTTGTGCCATGCTTCAAAAAGGTGCATGCCTTGCCTTGCACCTTGGGTGCAAAATGGCCCTTGTGCTTTTTTTGCACCTTGCACTTTTAAAACACTGGTTAAAATTCAACTTCAATCAATTATGAAGAGTAGACCAGAGTCTGGGGGTGATGTTTCTAGTTGCCAATGAGGATGCAATATTCATCCATCCTTTTTTCTTCTCCTGTTTCACATTTTCTTAGGCCATACGTCTTTTAGGGGCTACTACTTGATGTAATGGTAAGAACGCTGGTTCAAGTCTGCGAGCAGTCACTTATGCAAAAGTAAAAAAAGAAAAGCTAAAGGTAGAACTTAGAACCATATTCAGTCTATCCCTCCCAAGACCCCGGATAACTGGGCCAAGAGTGGATAATTTCAAAGTTATGAGATCTATGGTTTTTGCACACATTCTATTTTAACCATTTTCTGGATATATTCTTGGTCATGGATCAAAGATACTTATAAAACAATCCTGCTTGTGGGCTTTGCACTGCAGGGCATCATCCTGGAAATTCCTAGATAAACTCCAGCAGAAGATTGGATTTGCACTTTAATGTCATCCTGTACAGGAAGGGAGCAGTCTAAGTATAAGAGGAGTGACGAGGTGCAAGTTTTGCTGCAGACTGAAACTCCACCTTCTATGTTTATTGCAGAGTAATTCCTACTTATTAGTTCTGCCTTGCCATTTCTCAACAAGTTGCTGCTTTTGATGATGTCACATGAAAGAGCAAATTAAAATACTGTAAGGAAAACTGCTCAGATATAAGGCGATCAATTGAAACTTGAAAGTAATTTACAAATCTTTATTTCCAAGGATCATGCTTTTCAGTCTTCACTGATAAACATACTCTTGAATAGAACAAATTAGTTGTTTTTAAGAGCCATGGTCACTGGGGTGCACTTATAATCTCTCTTGTTTTCTGGTAAAGCATTCTGCATCTTGTTGAATTACAGAACATGATGTTCGATTTGCTACTTTATCAAAAAAGGAAAAGAACCAAAGGTGCACCATAGGTAGGACCGCAGGAGTGACAACCAAATAAATGACCATCAGAAATTACCCATCGAAGGGAGACATAAATATCTCCAGATGGAAGACATAAATACCAGGTTTGGAGTGTCCAAACCTCCGGTAGCGCGTCCCTAGGAGTCACCAGATCAAACATGTTCCAGGCCCCAAGGGATAGAGCCCTAGCTGTTGAACTGAAACTTGAAAGACAACGAAACATTTCGCTGTTGATGTTCTATAGCTAACGCCTCACGATAAATGTGTCCATAGCTAACGCCTTACTCACGTATCACCTTCATCTCCATACAGTTGCTGATGACGTTCTTCAATCTTAATGGCGGGTCAAGAACCTGTTACAAGCAAAGGATAATGAGATTGGAGTTAACCTCAATGATGATGCGTAACCCTCTAAAATTAGGGCCAAGTTATGGGCTTCCCAAGCAGTCAAAAGTTCAGTCGTGTTGATTGTAGTGACGCCTAGATTATACACTTAATGTTTAAACTTCATCTAAATGATTTCTTGCAATAACAATTGAACATTTGCCCACGTTACAGGAAGTATCAAAATTTATTTTTATAGATCTTTTGGTTTCTGCACTTCCACAAATACCAAAGAATAAAGTGAACTTTTTCTTTCTTACTCATGGTCAGTCCAATCCATTGTTGTTACCAATATTTGACCACCAGACTTTGATCGATAAATTAAATCTTCCCAGGGGCCTAGAAATCTGGACCAATATCCATCCAAGTTTGTTTTTGCCATGATACAGTATTTAAAAATATGATCAATGCTATCCCCTCCACAGTGACTGCACGAACCATCAACATCAAACCCTTCTTAATAGATCTTTAGTAGGCAGTCTATTACTGAGAAGAAAGAACAAGAAGGTTTCAACTTTTGGGGGTACTTTTAGCTTTCACACATTGACATTCCACCTAAAATTTGATTCAACATTTAAGACTAAGTTACACCTAGCTATGCAAGCTGTTTTAGTTGAGAATTCACCATCCGGATTCAGCCTTCAAATCAATCTATGTTGTTTATCCCCAGCTGGGATGTAAATGGACTTAATTCTTGACCAAATGTTGGTGAGGACAAGGCAATACAATTTACCTTCATTCCAAACCTTCCTATCATCATCAACTATCTCACAAACTAACATATTATTGTTTTCAATCGAAACCTGATCGACAACATCATGCATAATCATCCACCCAATCCAAAAATTTATAGATTTTCCATTACCCACAAGACATCCATTACCACGTTTAAGAAGATCTCTTGACATAAGGATTCTTCTCCATGCCCACAAAACATCCTTTTTAGTTTTTGTATCCCAGAAACATTCATTTTTCAAGTGCTTACTCTTCATAGCCTTAACCTGTAGGTTTTTAAAACATTGACGTATTCTCTTCTTACTCTTATATATCATGTATATGGGAATATGGGATCACCTTTTCCTCCTTTTTATGCTTGTTGGTCTTTCCGCTTAGAGTGGTAGTATCACATTGATTTCTAATTTGCAAGAGTTAGGTGTTTTTACTATGGCTTTAAAAACTGACATGAAAATGAAACTGTTTTGACCATCCATTCCTGGGTTAAATAGTTTGACTGTCCAATCCAAAGCCCGATCAGACGGTTTTGGGGTCCAAAATTGGATTCAGAGCCATGATTGATTCTCGGGTCAACTAGTCCGGTCCAGTTTTCAAAACTATGGTTTCTACACACTTCATCTTACAGGGGTGGTAATCTCTAGCTGCGCTATGTTTCTCATATGAGACAAAAATATCTCTTGTGTTTCAGTGTTGAGTTGTTTTAGAAGGCACTTTTTATCTAAGGCTGTGTTTGATTGCAATGCAAATTTATTTGCACTGGTGCAAAATTATGATAGTGCAATGATGATTTATTTTTATTTCAAAATTTACTTAATTTGTTTGATTGCAGTACAAATGAAATAAAATAAAACCTGAAGTAAAATAAAGTAAAACCCAAAACAAAATTAAACCAGAATTTGCATTCTTTTCATTTGCATTTTCATGCATTTTGTACTAGTTAAAATAAAACTGCACTATCACCAAAAACAGCCTAAAGAAAATCTAATAAGCTCTAAAAAAATTTCATCTTGGCTCTAATGGCCTAATGGGTTAATATCATAAACTTAAGAGTCTCGTACATTAATATCATTCAATTCTACTTTCACTGTTCGTAAGATACTTTCTCCCCTGCCCATCATTCCACCGAAATTGCTTGGCTATTTGCAATGGAATTGCTCGAGCCTTTGGGATACGACACGCCTAAATTATTTGCCAGGCAGCAAACCCAGATGGCCGATGCACAGAGTAGAGAGGCGTCTCATTCATTATCTACGTAGTACGTACGTATAGTTTAAAGCAAATCTTGAGCCCCAAGCCAACGTAAGTCTTCTATACCGAAGTAGTCAATGAGTGAACTGTTTGTTGATCAGCAGACAAATAACTAATGAGAAGGAGAAGTGAGATCTATTTTTTAGGTAAAACAAAAAAGCATGGTACTTGGGTTCTGCTTGATTCATTCACCAACAAATTACTACAAAATTCACTTCATTTCCCCCTTGATCCAAGCACGAAATGAACAGATCAGAGCTGTTGTTGTCTGTATATTGAATGGCCAACGACTCGGTTCAAGCATGATCTCCAGATTGAACGGTCCTGATTAATCCAATTAGTCGTGGGACCCATCGAATGTTCTCACTTGACAAAGAAAAAAACATTAGTCCAGTTGGCTGTAACGGCTATCTGCTCCACAACTTAAAATAAAGTCTCTAAAACAATACAAAAATCCACCGACCATCTTAGCTTAGCCACCAATTCAAATTCGCAGAGCTCAGATCTCTTTTCTTTTTTTCTGTCAATAAAACCCTATCTATAGTCTCTAGTCCATCCTCATTGCACAACCCGAGAAGCCTCATGCCCTAACCTTTCTGCTACTGAAAAAAAGAGAGTGAAGCAAAGATCCCGAAAAATGCCCAAGAAAAGGCCACCCATTTTCGAGAGAGCTTTGAATCTCTTGAAGCTCTCCATTTTCATGACGAAAATGGGAAAGCCCGGCTGCCCAAGTTTCATTTTCTTGAGTAAAACCAGAAAACTCAAGAAGCACAAGTACCTCAGACACTATAATCATGCGTTTACCGAGGAATACGAGTTCTCTCCTTCAAGTACTCCTCTGTTTCCTTATTACAGACAACCATTCAAGAAGAGAGGCTGTAGAGATATCTACTCGTTGTTCTTTCTGTGTCGTTGTTCGAATAATTGGAGAGTTGATGATGGAGGAGAAGCTGAAGAATTTGAGGAAGGAAAAACGGTTTATGCATTGGAAGCGCCGCCAGCAATCGTGGATGATGCCGATGATGATTCTCTAAGGGAGTTGCCTGAGTCTCCTTTGATTCGGGGAGATGAAGAAGAATCGGTGGACGAAAGGGCAGAAGTGTTCATTCAGAGGTTCTATGAAGAGATGAGGCTGCAAAGGCAAAAATCAGTTTTGCAATACAATGAAATGCTGGATAGAGGTTGCAGTTGATGGATGCCCTGTTTATCAATTTTGGATTGAGTTTTTGGTATTTTGGTTTTCCATCTTTTATCCACAGAGTTTTTAAGAGTGTGGAGAAGTCGTTGTTTAATTTTTTCATTCTGGTCATGTTTGTGCAAATGTGCGATGCACAAGTTTGAAGCTGAGGGTGCTTTTGGTCCATTGGTAGTATGATTTTTGATTGTTGATTTCTTAAATCGTTGCAGTCTTGAAGTAATAAATGGCATTTCAGATTCTTTCGAAGTTGTTTTTCTCATGACTTCCTTAGTTGGCTTGGCTTAAACTCAAGTCTGCGTTTGAATGCGGCATAAATATAGAACTGGAGGAATTATGCACCGTTTGAATGGCTTAAACTCTAGTATTTACACAGCAAACAAATGTAAATGCAGCGCAAGTCTAAGTTCCATTTTAATCAAACTCAATTGGGTCCCACCTTGTCTTTAGGGAGAAAGAGCCTAAATTTGGCAAACTCGTTGTATACAACCGACATAGGCGCCTGTCCGACTCAATCAGCAAAACTTAACAGTTGAGAAAAGTCTCAATATTAGGGTCCGTTTGGGTTGCAAGAATAAGGATCTGGAATAGGATTNCAAAACTTAACAGTTGAGAAAAGTCTCAATATTAGGGTCCGTTTGGGTTGCAAGAATAAGGATCTGGAATAGGATTAAACTCCCTAAGTAACTCGCTAGAATCTTTTTCTAGTGAGAATCCACTCTAATTAACCTTGATTCCGATTTCAATTCCGATCTTAAACCAAACAGACAAAAAAAATATATATATACTAATCTGATTCCGATTTTGAGGATTTTAATTCCAATTTCAACTGTAAACCGAACGAAATCTTAAGTTGGTATCATTGTTGTATTCAAACTTCCAAGTCGGCTCCAACTACATTTTAGTGTTTTACCTAGAGAAACCATAGAGAGCCATAGATTGTTTCTATCAGAATTCACTTTTTGCTATAACACATAAAACCACGGCCTTTGATTTTATATCTGTGGCCCCATCAAGATGTAAAGGTGGGCCATATCAAGGCTTTGATTTTAGTGTCTCAATGCAGCGCTACTACATTCGTAGCAAATGTGAGCTGTATAATAAAAAAGCATCAAGTTAATGCACATGGACCCATGTACCTATGACCTATCTGGACTCCATTTCATATGAATTTTTATCTGCAAATAGGAGATAAGTCCTTAAAATGAGAAATGCCAAATGCAGTCTACTATCACTTCAAACTTCAAAGAAAGCTGGCTGGTGGGCAACTTTAGACAACTGGTGTGTGATTACATCAAGATGATGTAAAGTAAAACCTAATCCGACGGTAAGTGTTGAAGGAGTGCTCTATCTGTATTCTGTAGCAAGGTTCAAAATATGGATACATTTGATATATCCAAAGGGGCGTATCAGGTGAATTGATATTTTTTTTTTCGAAATCGATTCAAGAGGATCAATTTAGGACTCCTCCACCCCCTGAATCGGTCAAACTTCCAATACACCCACCATAAGGGCATATCAGAAAAGTCCCATAATGATACCTATTAATCAACACGAGCCTATACTTTAAACCTTTCTCTGTAATGGGCTGGCTATCTCAATCCAAATACCTCAAAGAACAATGAAACCTGCCAAACGAGTTCGAAGTCCTTCGTGGAAAGCCATAGCTTTAATTTGGTAACAAAAGGATCAGATCTCAAAATTAGAGTTAATTTAGTAGGCCTGCGAGGTAAGAGGCATACTTAACATCTCAAGTGGCTGAGTCCAACCCAGGTCGCTGGATTCAGAGTCCAGAGTGCTAACCACTACATCATAGAACCTTAGAAAAGTACATGCATACTTGAGACTAAGAAAAGTTGTATAATTTCTGCTTCATACTATTTGATGTTGAAGATGAGGCAGTGAGCCAGTTTTGGAGCTGTGAAATTAACTCTTTTTCTTTCGTTCTTTCTCTAATCCTTGCTAAAATTGTTACCAAAGTATGCTTATTATTTCAATCATTCTTTGCTTCTTTGAACATGTAATATTTTTTATGCTTGTTCTCTATGATGAGTAACAAGTTTTAACCTTAAACAGATAATCTGCATAGCAAATGATCTTTGAGGAGATCCCTTACATTTAAGTAGTCAGTATTGTAATGAGCTTTATGTTTATACTAGCGGGGACCATGTGATGCATGGGAACAATCAAGGAAAGTGAAATAACCAAAACTTATAACTAATGAAAGAATACAATGTTGTTTAAAATAATTAAATATTTATTTTAATAATTTGTTATAAAAATATTTTACTAATTTAGTAATTTGAATTAATTATATTAATATTTTTAACAAAAAATAGATTATTGCTAATTACTTAATAAAATAATTATTTTTTCCATATTATTTGTTAGTTTTCTATTTTATTTATTTTATTTTATTAATAATTAAGTGTTTTAATTGTTTGTAAATATCACTTAAATATTTAAAATACTCAAATATCAATAAATATATAAAATTAGGCTATACTCATAGTTAAATTAATCTATAATAAACTATTTTAGTCATAATTAAATTAATCTAAGCCTAAACTTAAGGTATAAGACTTCAGATTAGACATGGATTGATCCTCTTCCTAACCCAACCCACCCAAGTTGCATGCATCGTAATATTCGTAATTGAATTGAACCAAGCCAATTTTTAGATAATATTGAAGCTAAAGTAGCTATGGAGGATTCACAACCCCCATTGTATAGCCTAATGAACCAAAAAAAAAATCTTAGGCTAAATTTTGATAGTGCATTAGTAGCTTTTAAGGTTGCTTGGCCTAGTCCAGCCCACACCTTAAGTGTAATAATATTTGTCTGTGCCTACAAGCTTGCCCATGTTAAATATAAAACTACGATTTTGTTATATATTTCTATATATAAATATAAATTTTTTTATCTAAATATTAAATAATAATATTTACCATATGTGGATATAACTTCCATGTTGAGCTTATTACGGGTTGTTTATTTGTTTAGTTTGTTCCCTATCCATTAGGGCCATCATTGGACTTCGAAAGTTTGATACTAAATTAGACTTCAAATCCGATTATCCTAGATTCGGATGTTAGAACTTGCATCTAGTTAATAATTCGATTGGATGTGGATTTAACCCCGTCCAATTTGATTAAAATCCATGTCTAATAAAAAATATTATTTTGTATATGTAGTATAGTTATTGTATACACATAGATGTTAATATATGTATTTATACTTTAAAATTCAAAACCCAACATAATAATAATCAGATGTGGATGCAACTAGAAATTTCATAATCGGATGTTGATGTGAATGCAACTAGATTTGATTTTAACCTGATCTGTTTATAGCCCTACTACCCACATTATGTGTGGGCTTGGTGCATGTTTGAGCTAGACCTAACTAAAAAAAAAAATTGCTTGAGCATGGAAATTTATATATCTAATCAGGTTTGGCTAAGTTATAAATGATTTATTACTTTTTATTATTAATTTTAATCATCCTCTCAACAATAATTTTTATTAATTTCTCAATTTTATTAATTTTACAATCCTACTACCTGCATTATTTTCTTGAGCCCAAGGTTGGGCTAAATTATAAATGGTCTTCCCTACGTAGGAGTCTTATGACATAATTAATTTTTATAATTTTTTTATGGAATGGAAATGGTTTATATATTTTTATTATTTTTCACAATTGTTTACTTTTTATTATTAATTTTAATTATCTTATCAATTTTAATTTATGAACTACTAGTCTTTATTAATTTCTTAACTTTTAATAGATGCTAGATAAAAACTTGTTAAATTTTAATATTTTTATTAACTTTAGTAATTTTTATTAATTACAATTATTAAGTTTCAAATTATTTATAAATTATTATTATTATTATTATTATATAGATAAACCATAGCTATTTCTGAAAATGGGTCAACATAAACCAGTTTAACTTGTCTTCTTTGTTTGAGTGATAAAATGGGTTCTACATTCATTAAAATGGGTCAATATAGGCACTATGCACAATAAAGGTCTCAACTCATTAAATTTATTAATTTTAATAATATTATTAATTAATTAATTAAAATGCAACATATCAAACCTATGTTTAAATCATAATATTATTAAAACTATCAATTAATATTTTTTGTCTTTAAATGTATTATTTTTATTAGTGTTTATTAAGTTTTAAGTGGAATTGAAATGTTTTTAATTTTTACTAAGTTTTGTTAACTTTATTAGTTTTAAGTGGAAGTTCAGTGGATTTTTAAATTAATAAATTTTTAAAATAATATTTTTATTTTTGTTGTTTTATGTTTGATTGATTAACCTCAACATACTTATATTATTTGATTTATTAATATGTTACTTTATTCTACTGTATTACTATTCTCTCTCTCTCTCTCTCTCTCTCTCTCTATATATATATATATACATATATATAATAGTGTACAACTTTATTGATCTAATAAAAATAGATAATGATTACTTTTTTTATATTTTAAAATAAAAGAAAATAGGAAAACTGCAAAAAGTTGAGAAAATAGATAAATAGATTCTCTTAAAGGAAAGACATGTTGACATGGACCATGCAATACTATTTTATAGATGAATGATCTTCAGTGTGAACCTCCTACTCATCTGCCTTGTTTTTCTGAACACATGGATCAAATAAGCGATTTGATTTCTATGGTGCTTCTTTCCTCTTTAGTTTTTATTGAATATTTATAAAGCAGCTATAGATGAAAATACACCATCATCATATCTATCTATACATCCATACAAGCACACAGAGCTAATGGGGATGATAACTATATGAACTCATTATTGCATACAATGTCCTTTTACAAAAATTTCATTATTAAGTTGTTTTCATCTCTTATTTTACACCATTTCTAAGTTATGGTTATGGAAAATACTAAATAATGAAATCATCTCACTTAGTGGTCACGTTGGAATAGTAGGCTCCAAAGTTATTACTATGCTGCTCCATGGAA